GTTCTTATGCCAAATTTAACTATATAAACTGGTCTGCAAGTTTATAGACATTCTAATAAATTCTCCTGCCAGTGGCCCTAGACACCGTGTTTGAGAAGTTGTATTTTTTTGCTACCTAATTACATTACAATATGAATTATTATAACTTATAAGTACTTTTCCAAAACTCGACTACCGGGATTTAAATTAAAAAATGTGATTTAGGTAACATATTGCCATATTGGCTATTGATCTATTATAAAATAGAAAATTAACCTACCATTAATATCATTAAAATTGATAATTTGACGACAATTTCTTAAAAAACCTAAAATATTTTTTAAATTTAGTATTATAATTCATATAGTTTAGCGCCCACGCAAATTTTTCAATATTTTTTTTTCGGAAACCTATGATTTGCCACCAGTTATAAGATTTATGATGCAAAAATTAATTCACGGAAATCATTAGTTGTTATCGCATAGCCTTACGAAGTTCACGATTTTCGGTGTTTTACACACCCGTACAACGCTTAAAGTTTACCGAGCTTAAGTAGGTATAACAAATAACAATTTTTTTTACCTAGTTAAATGAATGTCTTAAGAATGATGGTGCAAAAATAATTCATAACAAGTTTTACATTACAAGTCGAGGGATCTTTTTCATTATAATTGTCAGAGAGAGCACAGCGTGAAAGTGAATACGCCGGGTATGAAATAAAAAAAAATTTCAATTAGCTATAATTTTAAAATATCTTATACAATGATATTATATCATTGAATTCAAATTTAATGCCATCCATTATACAGTGACCCACTTGTAACCTACTGTATAGCAGAGCACCTTTTTTGGCTTGTATTAATTTTTAAATAGTTAAATTATGCTTAAAAATGTTTTTATTTTTGTATTCCTAGTTTACTTCAAGACTCTAGAGATTCACAAAATGATATTAAAGTATAAATGAGTTACAAGATTGGATGGACTCTAAAAGTCTCCTTAAAAAGTACATACTCACATCAGTCACATCTCTTATGGTTTAATTGATGTAAATTCAACAAACATGTCAAGGTAATGTTACACTACATTAATAATTTATTTTAATCAAACATAGTTCCAATTTAAGCTATCATGAATTCTACCAGTGCCTAGCCATAATTTTTGCTATAAAATCATGTATTTTGTGTTTTTTTTTTGGATACACTAAATACATTGTTATGTGGTCTGATAGCTGTGTGCCACAAAACCGAAATAAGAGAATGTCAACGGCTATTATTGGATTTATGTTGAAAATTCCCAGAACAAAATCAGTTACAATGAAGTATTCAGTTCCAGGCCACTCGTGCATCCAAGAAGTGGATAATGCACATTCACAGATTGAGAAACATGTAAAAAAAATAGATATTTGGTCACCATTGTCATTAGGGCCGTAACACGTTTGGGCACAAAACGATATTTTTACATGTGATTCGGGAAAACGATTGGGAACACACGTTTAGGTACACTTTTTTTCAGACCCCAAAAAGCAATACAACGTTTGGGTAACATAATATTTTTGAAATAATACTACGTTTGGGTACCAACTTTTAAGTGCACATTTTTTACTAATATACTTTTACATTTTATTTTTTAGAGCCTTTTGGCGTTACCCAGGAGCATAGGCGGACATTTGGTTGAATTTTTAGGGGGGCTATAATAAATAATAATCCAATGTAAAGTGACCCGCAGGGGCTTCGCCCCCGCACCCCCTTCCCATGCACAAGTAATATATTACTAGAATTATATTCTTTTGCATATTTTTTTTTTTTGAGTCTATGCAGTCAAACGGGGGTGTGAAATCTTTACAAATCATGAAACAGGTGAGTTAATGGCAAAAGTTTTTTTTGCATACTTGGGAATATTTCAAGATAAAAGAATATTTTGTATAATAAAGAATATTAGAGAATATATCGATTAATTTTTGTAGATGTTCGATATTTTTTGCTGTAGTGGCGTAAATAATATAAATGAGCACATATAAAAAGATTTTAGCCGACCGTTGTACAAATATGACACCAGATAGTTGTCAACGGTTTTCAACAATTTTTTTAGTTGAAAATTTAAAATAATTGAATATTAAATATTATTATTAATAATTTTATCAAATTTTTCTTAACATGTAGATAGTATTTTTTATTATGTAGGTACGTATTTATATCAGGATTTTGTATAATTTTGCATATTATGTATATATTTATATAAGTTTGTATTATTTGCTTAATTATTTTGCATATACATCCATATTTTTAGTTCAAGAGAATATTTTAATAAAAAAACATTTTTATTGTATATTTTATTATGATTTTTAAAGAATATTAGAAGAATATTTTAAACTTTTTAAGAGAATATTAGCATCTTATTTTGGCTATTTTAAAAGAATATAATTCCGGCCCCTAGTGATGATGGACACAAAAAAAATAAAAAAATAAATTCCTAATATAATGCCAAAAAAAAAAACACACATCATTGTAAGATCAATACATTCATTGTTCCACTCAGAATCTAAAATATACGTTTTCACAATTTTTTTTATAAGCATTTAAAGTTCAAATTTCGACTAAATTTAATAATTATTTTGTAGTTAATAATTTATAAAAAGTTAAACTTTTATAGCTAAGGATTGAAAATTTAAAACGAGATTCCACTTAAATAGGTTATATATATATATTATATATATTAATTACTTTATTCACCTTCATATCATCAAATATACTTAGCAGTGGCGTATATAGGGAGGAGGCCAGAGCCCATAGTGAAATTTCAGGTTGAATTAAAGCATTGCGTGTATATTTTCACGGTTAAAAGTTTTTCACTATGATTAAGTTAGCCGGTTGATTAAAATCGTTTTTGAGGAATCAACAATTAAATGTTAGATTGTCAGGACTTGCTTTGATAATTTATTGACTTTGATGTTAAATTCATAGTAAGATAACATTAAAATATATAAATGGCACTGTCAATATTTTTTAAAAAAGAATCAAAAAATTTAATTTTACATAATAATTATAAAACTAAATTGCTCAATTTTTATTTGTACTGTATAATATGTCATAATTATAACCACTCAGCTCCCTAAAAAATGTATAGTTATGGCTATGTTAGTCTTGCCATGCTTAACTAGTGATAACTGATAAATTGGCCCATAGTGAAAATAATTTGTATATACGCCACTGATACTTAGTAATATACTAATATCATAGGCTGACTAACCGTTTTCGCTCAGAATCGTTTTTCTTGTACAGTGATATTATATCATTGATTTAAAATTTAACACCATCCTTTACAGTCACCCCCCTTGTAACCTACTGTATAGCAGAGCGACATCCACTTACCCACCTTTTTAGTGTTTCAAGTACCTAGTTCAGTTGATAAAAAATGTACTTCTATAATTTATTATATTTAGAAATTTATTCTGTAATTAAACAATATAAGGTAATAAGCAAAAAATACTAATTTTAAATTAACTAAATAATAATAATATTATATTATTAAATAGTTTCCTTTAAAAAAAATTATTGGGAAAATGTCCATAACAAAAATTGTATTTTTGGGAAAATGTCCTACTACACCGAAAACAGTAAGGGGGGGGGGGGGATGTCCTCAATTCGAGATGGGGACTTCCTATTTGACGGTACAATAATGTTTGCTTTAGTTAAAGAAATACTGTTACTAAAAAATAAAATTCTAAACTTCCCTGAATTTATTTAACTTCTAAAAAGGACACGGTATGATACAACACGTCAACACGATCAACTTAAAAGCAGCTACTTATAAACAAGTCGTGCCAAACTTAGCCTTATATACTTTCGGGCCTCGGGTCTCGAGATACCAAATTTCTAGAACACGGTATTTAATATTACCGATTTCCGAATATTCTATTCTTGAACATTGTAGAAGTTTCTAGAATATTCTAAAACTAATTTTCACCATTATTCCCACCCACGAACTGCCATCCCCTACCAAACAAAGTATAACGTACGTAGGTGGTAAGGTGATACAATCATACAACTATTGAACTATATACCTAACTTATTTTCAAACAATTTCTAAACCACAAAGTATTAATCAACACCCAATGCTTCACGGTATCTATGACGGCGGTATTTGTGAGAATATTGTTATTTGATAGTGAGAAAACCACAACATAAGTTTACTCGATGCAGATTATGATGAGAATTTAAATCTAATTTTCATTGAACAGTGGATTTAGAGAAAATCGTAATTCGTAGCCATCGAATATGTTCTCGCTTCCTAGACCCTATACAAAAACAATGATCAATTGAGTTAAAAATTCCATTTTCGTTATTCTATCATTTAATATAAATTTAAATATTGCCATTATGTACTTATTTATAAATGTTTTGTAATTATTATACTATAATCTATAAGTATATTTTTATATGAGTTGACATCATAAACGTTCAAAATTTAAAACAAAATAATGTTTAGAAACACTTGACGAGATTAGACATATTCTTATTTTAATAAATATTATTAAACAATAACAAAACATAATTATTTACTTACTATACTTTTACTAATAAAATACATTATTTGTCACTCAAAAAGTGATATAATATTTGCTTTAAGTAGGTTTTAAGTTGTTCCTAAAAAAATTAATATTAATTTTGATCCTCTAAATTCAAAGTTTTATGAGATAATGACAAAAATAACTATTGATTAATTAACACGCTTTAATAATATATTTATTTATAATAAGTTATTAAATTTACATTATTTCACAACTGATTAATAAATCATAGAAATATTATCTGTAGCAAAGAACAGACAAAAACTAACTAAAATTGAAATGTCTATCAATTCTAACGTAGCCAAAATAATACTGGCAATGAAAAATATATAAAAAAAATAAATTTGGGGTCAAGTAGGTATAAATAATATAATATAACAATTATTCTGTATTATTATTTACAAGAAAAAAAAATGTAATAATAAGTATAATAATTTGGGACTTGATGACACACTTATCGTCTAGACGTCGGCGGGGCTGGGGTATGTTGCATACAACCCTCAACATTTTCAGGCCAATCACAAACATTTTCTTTCGGGTTAAACACTAAATTCGATGGACATGGCATGTGATGTTTTCTTTCGCCTTCACACATGTAATACATTGTACAGTCAGCTTTATCTGGGTGATATGATATGTGACCGTCTTCTTCTTCACATGTCACAGACGTTGCTAAATAAATAAATTAAATTAAAACATAAACATTTTAATACAACTCTTTACACTATGTCACTATATATTACATTTGTATGCATATCATAAGTCTTTTAAGATGAGATCATTCAAATTAATAATTTATTCTCGTAGTTCTTTCAAAAAAATTATAAAATTAGATTATTTTTTGTATAGGGTTTTCTTTAAGTATACCACCGTTAGAGCGCACTTAAATTGCATACCGAGTCTTCTATACAAAATATAATATTTAATAATATGTTTATAAAAAATAATTAGTTTAATATTATTAACATTTTAGTATTAGGTTATATTCTAACTTGTAATACTACGATAATACTTAGATATTTCAAAAAAACTAAACATCTATTAATTAAATTAAATCAGTTTGAAAACCACTAAAAAATATGTTTAACAGATCAAAAGTTAAACAAGTTTGCATTTAAATTTGAATTTGATTCATATTGAGATCAAAATGTCATATATTTTATTGTTTTGAATGGTCTATCATAATAATAATAATATAATATAATATAACAACAATATTAATTTTACAATACATAATATTATTATGTATTCATATTGTTTTGAAAATAATTACGGTCTTTGGTTGTATAAACAGCGTTTCTTCCTGTTGCTTCATATGGTCCATCGTAATCCAATTTAACAGTGTATCCGGCAAGTTCTTGTTTCATGGCATTGATTAATGGATATTTACCTGTACCACATACACCACGATAGTCGTCCATATCTACAGACCATATCATAACTCCACCAAATCCTTCTTCTTTCAACCAAGTCATCTACGAACAAATATAATATGATTAGTTTTCCTTTGAAACTGTTTTAGACATTAACATGAAATAATTATATGCGCGATATCACTTATCTATACCTTGGTTTTAAGACTTCTCTCGTCGTCAAAACCAACCCACTGGTCTTTTCTATAGGCAAATGGCACTTGTTGCTCATTATCCCAGACAAGTGTTGTATTTTCCACGTGTAAGAAATCACACACCTAAGAACATTTTTAAAGGTTTATATTAAATTTATAATCGTTTATGAATTGTACGCACTTCATAATATGCCATAAAGCCAGCTTCAGAAGTGTACTTTCCAGCTGTACCACCGCCAGATGCAGGAGCTCCAATATCAAACTTAGCTGGATCGACCAATGTAAATGACCTTCCATAAGTTGGCATTCCAATCATAAGCTTTTCTTTGGGGGCGCCTTGCTTCACCCATTCTCTGGCACTATAGTCCTATAAAATTAAATATTGATATTATGTAGTTGGATGAAAAATGTGAAATTTTTTGGTTTTACTTACGACAGTAAGCTTCTTTTGGTAGCTTGTGGCACTTTCTAAAGGATATAGAGGGCTATTGTGTCCTACTTGACGTTCCCATTGTCCATGAAAATCGTATGTCATCACATTTATAAAATCTAAATACTTTGATATTTCAACGACATCATACCTAAATAAAATTAAAAAAACATTAGCCGCTGTTTATTGAATCAAGTTGTCATAACTTACCCAGCAGCAATTGCTTCGAAACTAGCTGGTACGGCTGCTGTCAATAAAAGCCTTGGAAGACCAGAGCTTTTAGATTCTCCTTCGAAGGCTAGTCGTAGTTCTTTCAGTAAATTAACATATGCTGCTTTATCATCTTGTCCTCTAGGATATTCCCAATCGACATCCAAACCATTAAATTTGTGTTCTCTAAGGAATTCAATGGCTTCATACACAAACTGATTCATACGGAATACATTACCAGTCAGTTCTTTGAAGGGTGTTGATCCAAATGCCCAACCGCCAATAGCTAATAGCACCTTAAATTAACAACATTATTAATGGTCCATAAATATATTATGATGCTAAAATAAAATTAGTTAGACAGTCTATTATTCATTAAGTACTATGTTTACTTTAAGATTAGCATTTTTTTCACGAAGAGCCATCATTTCTTTGTATTGTTCAGTATCTTTCTCGTCAACAAATGTTAGTTTGAAGTCTTTCAATGATCCGAATGCATATATTACGTGAGTACATAAAGAAGGATCGATGTTATCTGGAGTGAATTTTCCAGCACCTGGTCTCTTAATAGACCAACTAGTCATATAACACATAACTTGAGGTGCTCGTACTAAAATAAATAACAAAATATATTATAACCATTGATAGGTATTATTTAAAATACTAAAATGCTTACCATTCATGTCAACTACATCAGTCTGTATAGCAGTAGATGCTTGAATTTTGGACGGTTTGGTTTTAGATAATACTTCACTGACACTTATTTTGACTGGTGATGGCTTAGTTATGGTTTCAGCTATAATAGTGTTGGCTACCTTCGACCAATCAATGTCCTCTTTACCTCTTTTTATACCTCTAAGCTCTTCTCTATTACAATAAATTAAATTTATTATTCAATATCTTTACATAATTGATTCTAACACAAACCTCATGGCACCAATCAATGGGTATTTCACATCACTACAGAATGTACCGGTGAAATCATCCATATCCACTGTCCAGACCATGGCTCCTCCATATCCATTGTCTTTAATCCATTTCATCTTGTTTCTGATGGATCGCTCGTCATCAAATCCAATCCATTGATCTCCAGAAATTGCATAAGGTACTTTCATTTCATCGTCCCATACATAGGTTGCACCATTTTTAAGTATTTCACAAATCTAAAATTTTTTTTTTTTTTTTTTATTTTTATAATTTTTATTTACAATCTGTTACAATAAAAATATGAACAATAAGTAAAATAGATAATTGAATGAATAAGTGGCTTGAGGAAAGGACGGATTTAAGAAGCCTTCCAGTGAAGACACTTTGTGATCACACAAATCTAAAATAGAAATGAAAAATAGAATAATACAAATAAATATTTGAAAAATTGGAAAATCATGTATAGACGTTTTTATATATTATTTAGTTAGAATAATTAATGTACATATTACTATACCACGTAATAATTATATTGATACAACAGCATTTTTTAGAAAACTAAAAATAATAAATAACCTTAATTCGATTAGGGTAGAAAGGTAGAATATAGATAATAATTTAATTTAAAACTAAATCCAAACTTAATAATTAATAATTTACAGCTAGTCGTTATTATTATTTTAATACGATAATATGGCAAGTAAATAATGCAATTATTACAAATTAACTTAATTCATAATAATTATAATTACCTCATAATAAGCCAAAAATCCTGCTTCTTTCGTATACTCTCCAGCTTTACCTCCTCCTGATGCCGGTGAATTCACTTTATAGTTGGCTGTGTTGGTTAAAGTAAATGTTCTGCCATACGTTGGCATACCTATGATAAGTTTTTCCTTAGGTGCACCCATCTTAGTCCATATGCTCGCGGCATTATCAACGCTCAATTGTTTACGCCATTCGGAATCAGACGATGGGGAGTATAATGGTGCATTATGTCCAGTTTCTCTTTCCCATTTTCCGTGAAAATCGTATGCCATCACGTTAATGAAGTCCAAATATCTAGTAAAATGAAATTAATACGTATCAAAACAAATAGATAGGGAATTAATACATTATGTAATAAATATACTTACGAAGAAACAGCTGGTACGTCATAACCACCTTTGATGTTATCAGGACCAACAGGGACTGCAGCAGTTAATAATAAACGGGGTTTCTTTACTTCTTGTGCTTCGGCTTCAAATGCTTCCCTAAGTTCTGAACATAAATAAAATAGATGCCCATTAAATATTTTGAAAGTATAAAATACTTCTAATAAATAATACTATACCTTTCAATAAATGTACAAAGTTCTTTTTGTCGTCCTGTCCTTTTGGATACTCCCAATCCAGATCCAAACCATCGAAGCTACGAGCACGGAGGAAGGGTATAGCACTGTAAATAAATGTCTGCCTTGCATATCTAGTAGCTGACATATCCTTAAACTTTTGTGTGCCAAACGACCAACCACCTACAAAATGCACAATTCTATTATAGGCGTTTTGAAAACTACACATAATAAAATAAAATGAATAATAAATAATAATTAAATTAAATATCATAATATCACTATCAGAGATAGCTATAAAATTGTTTCTCTTTAAACTGACGCTGGTTGGATCTTGAGATTCACATCATTGTGTCGTCAACAATCCAAATATAATAATAAAATAACAATAAAATTAATAAAAACTCTTTTTGTACTGTGATAGATTTTTATTAGCTGTAGAACCATTTTTACTATTATATTATATAAATGACAAAAGAAATTATCAGTGAATCATATAATATTATATGTGAAAATGGGTGATTTATATCGAAGCTATGAGTCATTTTTATTATAACACATATTCGTATTGTTGTGTCGTACATTTCATCAAATGTATAAATGAAATACAATGCTGAATGATGAAATATTATTACCACTTTGTTAACAAACGAAGTATTTTCAAAATTCAAACTTGTATATTAAACGTAAATATATTACTCATATATTACCTACTTTATATCTGTCAGGAATTCATGATTGTCAACAAGTATGACCTATAGAATATTTAATATTAGATTTTTTTACATAAATGCTTCTGTTTAATAATAACTATTTTTCCTTCAATAGAAATATACAATTTGTTCCCTAGGCCCCTAGGGCACAATAAGAATATATGCTACAAGAATAAAAACATGAATAATAAATTAAAATGTGATACATAACATTTTATGACTAAGCGTCGTTAATCATCGATATACGAAAAATTGCATAATTCAAATTTTACAAAATTTAAATGTAGCGCACAATATTGGTATACTTAATGACTACTAGGAATATTATTAATTACTACACTTACCTAAAGCTAATAGGGTTTTTAACTTTGGATTGGCTTTTTTCAGGTTCTTAATTCTATCGTATAATCCAACCTTTCCGTCTTTGCTTTCGTCATTAGATTCGAATGACGATAAACGTCCTTTTTTCAACCACCCGAAGGCAAATATGACGTGAGTACATAATTCCGGGTCGATGTCTTCAGGTAAGTATTTACCGGTTTTCGGTCTATATTGTGACCAATTTGTATAGTAGCAAACAATCTGAAACACAAGACTTCTATGTTAGGAATTTTCTAATTATCACCCTAATCCTTGACGCCCTAATAATAGAGAAAGCTAACAATAAAATAACACGTGAACAAAGAGCAGGTGTGTCCGCATATTAATTATCGTACCTACGTAGTTTTTATTCCAACGACACTTTAAAAATATCCTTGGCATTTACTGTTTACACTTCGGCATCTGTATGTTACAAGTCGTTGGAATTAATAATTTAACTTATCGCGTAGACAAAAATAATGTCTTGCAATTAGGTACCTAGTCATCTAGCACCAGGTGCATATTTTATTTCGTTTTCATATACTAAAGGTATATAGATTACATAAATTCCTATAATATAATCATATGCACACATACATATTATATTAACTATGAGTACCTATGTATTATATAAATGTAATAATGTCTCTTATTAATGAACACCTACGGGTGTTTTGTAATTTACATTGAAACTTAAAAGTTCATAGGTAAATATTCAGAGTTACGTACCTATGAACTTTTAAGTTAATTCTGCATATTATTATAGGTGCATCGAAGGAATTATGAACCACTTGGTTTGACGAAATGATCCCACTGGTATAATAGTTAAAGAGAATAAGTCTTATGAAAAAAATTAACACCCATTACAAGATACTTAAAGGTACCTACATACTTTAATACTTGTACAAAACCACAAAATTAAACCCGTTTTGTTGGTATTTATGACTGGTTCACTATAATATAGCTGCTGCCTGCTGGTATACGTATTAATTGCATTATATCAATTATAAGTACATTTGTACATACTACATAGGTAATAATTTAATAGTACCAATGAGTCGTGATCAAAATCTTTATTAACAACTGAGACTCTCAGCTTATGGACTTAATATATTGTATTCCAACGACGAAATTAGGATTGTTTCGAAATAAGCTCTCGAAAACCAAAGACGTTTTGTTTCATCAAAACTTCTCAATAATTTAATTAGAACACGTCGTTATGTTATTATCACTGTCGAAATAATACTTCATTGCGTAATAATATTATAGCCACTAATCATTGAATAGGTAGGTACTTATAATGTTTTTCAATTTAAAATCACAATCACACGTGCCCTTCGGAAGATTTGTTACATATTATTTTATATACATTTTTTTTCGTCAATCTTTTTAATAAAAAATAATATTTCCTGGCCTGTCATAACCCGGAACGTCATAATATGTTTCGTATTTACACGATTATTACACACAAAAGGTTTGATTTGTTATTAATCTTATAATATGATTTGGAGATATATAGGTAAGGCTACCCCGGCGCAAAACTATTGAATAGAATTTTATGCCCGTCGATATTGACGTTCATTTTGCCGGTCGATAAACACCGAAGGTCTATATATGGGCTAAATCGTATTGTTCTAAATAAAATTTGTATGGCCGAATATAATATGGTTTTGAACCGGTACCTCATCACTACCTTCCCGTTCCTTAAACGGTAAACAACAGGACTTATTTGTCCTTTGGTCTATGCAGGTGAGACTTTACGAACCTTGTATCCGCCTTCGTCCTGGTTGTCTTTTGCTGTGGTCACGTGCTTTTCCGTCGAAGCGTCGGTGCCCGACTTCCTGGTAGCAGTACGGTTGCGTATCTTAAACTTGTTCACTGAAGCCGATGTTTCCATGTCGACAACCGTGGAGGTGGCCGCCGCTGATGAATCCGAAACTGCAGTAGTTTCTTGCTGCAATTTGTTGCCTGTGGGCCGTCTCAGTCTTCTTCGGATTGCTGTGAATAACAATTTTAAACTCATAAAAAGTGCTATCACAGGGATTGGAGGGGGGGAGGACACCGAGGCGCGAGCTTTGTAACATTAAGTATAATTTCAGTATTTCAGTAAAATTGTTGGATTACTACGAAATAAGTACATCATAATAATGGAATTATGCAGTGTACGTTAATAATTGAATACAGGTGAATTAACTCGTCAACGAGTTAAAGAGTTAATTTAATTTAAACTTTTTAACTTAACTAGTTACTTTTGGGTTTTCATTGACCTAACTATTAACTTACTAAATTTTTCTTTTTTAATTAACCTGAAATTAACGAATTAATTTTTCATTTTATGAAGTAAGTTAAGTTTATTTATTTTATTTTTAATTTAATTATATTTCACTATTTCAGTCTATTTTGCTTTCATGTCAAAAAATATTTAACGTGAATTGTTTAAAGTTAAAATTTTATATTTTTCCAATCTAACTTATATGGAAATACAGAATACTGTATAAAGTATAAACACTATATTCTATAATTTAGTATTGAGTTGCAAAAAAATTAAGTACGCTAGCGTTGCATAAAAAATTAACTTTTTTTAACTTAATAAAAATTTAACAAAAAGTATGTGTTAACTTTTAACTTAACTGAGTTAACTTATAATTAAACTAACTTTTATCTTTTAAATTATTGTTATTAGTGCATACTAATCTAACTTAACTAAGTTACAAAAAAATAATTAACTTGCCCAGCCTTGGGTAAAATTATGCAACATTGAGCTATTACGGTCATACATTAATTTTATACTAAAGGTCTTAAGATTTAAATAAGAATAATATAACTAATAACTAATAAGTAATAAGTAATAAAATATTAAGATATGTCATATGTGCGTAGATTTAATCATTTTAATTCACATACCTAAAGACTATATTTTAACACTTGAATTGTTTAGTTAATTTAATAATAAGTAGGTAGGTATAGCATTAAATTAATGTTGAATACATTATATTTTATATTTTATAGATTATAGCCACGTGACATGCAATTTAAATTACACAATTAATGTCAGTACGGAGTATAGTAAATAATGTAGGTACCTACGTATGTATAGTGTGCGCACGATGGAAAATGTTTTATTTAATGTGCCTAATAATAAATTAAGATTGTTAAAATTATTCAAACAAAAATTGTGTTTGTGCATATTTTTATTCGATTAGTAAGAAATTTAATATTTTATCATGTTTTGTTTATCTTTAGCTCTTCTATGAATAAATTATCCACTTATTTATAGTTAACAATAAGGCGTTTCAAAATTATTATATTATTTATTTATTATTATCCATAATAGTTTTAAATGACCATTTAGAACAAAAAGTAGAAGATACATTTATGTCAACATAAGAACCCAATAAAATGTTTAAATGTATGATTTAAATTAATGGTTGACAGTTAAATGAGACTCTCGTGTATTATTGTGGTATTATACAGGCATCATTTACATTTTATGCATTATTCTCAATCCCAAACAAACATAATAATATCTTTGTTAAATTATGTGTATATATAATATATACAATTTGACATAAATATGCTTTTGGGATGGGTACAGATATTTTGATTTTTTTAAGTTTTTAACTCCAACCGATTATGCGTAACGCGTTTTCGTTGTAATGGTTACTTATTTATGATTCATACATTTTCTTCAAAATGGAAAATATCGAGTAGAGTTCTACGTTTCTTACAGCCCATATAAAAAAAAAAATATTCTTATCCTAATTTTCAGAACTTATTTTTTTTTTCTTTATATTAAAGTTCTATAATTTGATAAAGGTTTTAAATTAATTGGTAATATATCTTATTGGAAAAATGAAATATACTTATTTATAATTTATATGTGTATAAATATAAATTAGAATAATAGAATATGTTTAATATATGGTATGTATGTAAAAATCTACCAACTAGAAAGATCTTCTTCAAGATTGTACTTTATATAAATCATAATATTATATTGATATAATTACTTAATACAACAAATAAATAGTTAGAACTAACTAACATTTTGTTTGGTTAATACTTAAAAGTAAAATGGAAAAAATGCTGGTAACATTCAATAATAAGAATAAGAATGTTTTATTGTCCATTCTCTACTTCTACACAAGATCATCGTGTCCTATACTCTTGACTAGGTGTACCTACTTATGTCTGAAAAGCGAAAACACGCAGTTTATTAGTAATAATACTAAAGAGTAAGGTACTCAATCACGTCATAGTAAATTAATAATCAATCATTATTTAAGACTTGATTATACCTACTTGCGAAGAAACAATTTTACTAATAACGATCTATATAAATAAAAATGATTGGATTAGAAATAAATTAATAACATAATATGTACATATTATGTATCTATATGAATATATAGGTACTGTTATTATATTCACCATTATAGAGACATAGGTACTACCTACTCGTACCTATAATTTGTTTGAGAGATTTTCAAATAACTATCAAACACGTATTACGTTACAATTATTTATTTATGAGAAAAAATGGTAACAGTAATGAAGACGACCATGAACTAATTAGATTTATCAAAAAAAAAATCAGATCAAAACTTAGAAGATATAACCTTGTTAAAATAATGTTAGAACTTTTCTACAGAATAATATATTCAGAATCAATTAATTGGAGCGTGGGAAGGAAAGTAATTGTTTTTTATGGTGGAATGTGTGCTGCTATGATATAATATAATATATTCATGATTTATCACACATTTATCTTTTTCAAGTAAATTAATTGGAGCTTTTAATTTTAAATTAGTTTGTTATTTTTAACTCCCTCAAAATTATGTGTAGGACGTGCATCTTATTTTTTTTTAATGTTTATCAAGACAATCAGGAAATTGTCGTAATTTAATACAAACATTTAATATTACCTCTATATAAATTCTTACACCCATTTTATCATATTAAATTATTTCATTCAAATATAAAATGTATTCTATAAGTATCTCGATTTTTTTTTCTTCGCGCATACAACTCAATAACTCATATGGTGTTTATAATCTCAAGGTTTTTTCCCTATCAAGCTTGTAATGTATTTATGTACTGCACATTTAAAATACGTTGAATAGTGAATACGATTAATACGAATTTGCCATGCACACAATATATTGTTAACTTTAAAATTAAACGTATAGCGATTTATCGATTTATATATTTAATACACCTAAACATTGCGGTTAGACTATTAACGTATTTCGTGTTCACACTATTGCAACTCGTATTACCTATACGACTAAACGTATATTTTGTTGAAAAATTATGGTCCGTTGAACAATTTTTAGATGAAAACGTATCTGAAAGCAACCGGTTTGAAGGCGATGGCATATAATGATTTGACTTAACAACAGTGATAGATTTTATATGTTGGGAAATGATTCGGTCGATAATCCAGTTTAAAAAGGAAACACAAACAGTGGTGAACCCATATTAACGTTTGTGTGTGTGTATATTGTGTACACGAATATAATATATATTACATTGAGTAACCGTCGCCGTCGGGAGCTGGTTGAGCTGGTCTATGCCAATACACGACAAGGGTGTAATTATTATTAGATATCATATATTCATCTAAGTGTAATATATATGTATGTGTGTGTGTGAGAGTGCACAGATCAGCTGGTTGAGGACGATTGGTGCGGGTCAGTGTAAAAAACGAGAGCGTTGCGCACGCTTCGTTGACAACAAAAATAAATAAAAAGTAAAAGGTGCGCAAAACGACCGCTCGCTAGCTGCATGGCGAAACTGGTTCTCCGCGTGTCCGCCCAAAGATTATTGTCTGCGTCTGTGCGTCTACATAATAATAATATAATACTATAGTAATAATATCCATGCGGATGATATTATTTAATAGACATAATATTATGGACGTAAAAGCATACGATCTCAATATCAAATGACAAAACTTTTCGCTTCCAGACACTTCGGACGTTCGGATGAATTAACAGTTTTTGGCTTTCACAAAATATGTTTTAAGTTTATTATAACTTAAAGCAGTCCAACTAAGCCCCCCATAAATGTCCATAGCCCCCCAAACATATCCCAGATTTTGTTTTATGCTTATTCAATATTATCAAAGCAAGGCTTTAGCCCCCCCCCCCCAAATCCCAAACGCTATCTGCGCCAATGTGGAAGATGCATTATTGATATGTGAGTTGTTTTGATGTTTGTTGTTTGCATTATTATTAAATGATTTGTACATTTTATTCTAATGCGAACCTAAATAACGTTTACGGTTCAATATTTAAATATCACATTTCACAATTAGAGATGTTTGAATATCAAACGTAATAACTTTGGTGAAACTATAAAAATTAACAAAAATATAAAATATAGCAAATACACATTCTAAATCGAGTAACAATGTGAATTTTGTAATAAATAATAACTCTTTAAAATGACAATCGTGACTGTTATACCCATGAGCTATTTAAAGAAAATTGTATAATAAAGTCATTATCCTGACAGATTTCATAATATTTTTATATTCTAAATTGTTCATAAACAAAATATTATAATATCAGATTTACTTCAAACTCGCCACCAAATGACAACGATTGTAGGTATATAAATATAATTTGACGTGTCACGTGTCATGATAAATTAATTTAGAGTTGAACAGGGGTAATCTTGCGCCATCTAAGATTTCACCTGAATTGCAAGCAATTTGTAGACTACAATTTATATAATGTGTAAGTTAGATATAATTATATAAAAATGTTAAATAATATATTAATGTGCTACAATATAGTTTATTATATATTATATTTTTTGTTTATAATATAGGTATTGTATGCTATATAAACCAAATAAAGTTATTCTAATTTGGCGGTTAGAGACTCGATGAAAGTTAAACATATTTTTAATATATATTTCTTTGAAGAAGAAACCCGCTTATTAGGTATGGTAAAATAAAATAATCTCATATGATGTTGTTTTTTAGATGCGATAATAATAGAAACTGGATTGTAAAAAGGTGAGTGAAGCGAGACGAGTGCCCAACATCCAACCTAACTCTGTATCCGGTCCACTTATTGTACACATTATAATTTATAACTATCAAAAAATTGTAAAATTATGTTTCATTATTCGCTTTAAACATATGTTGTAACGAAATTTTTAAATAAAAAAAATATGAATAATAATTAATAACTAATAAAACCAATGCATACTGTGTAGGCATGAGTAAACTGGTGTGTAATTATTGTTTTTGTATTTTCCCGGTTATTTTTAAAAATGAAAAGTACTGGGAATTTTTTACTTTGGACTTCACAAAGTCCCAAATACATCTGATTTTGTATCATAAACATCCATCTTGAATTTAAATATTACCATTTTTACCAGTCAAAAACGTGATAATAGACACAAGTATAATTTATTTAAAAAATGGAGAAAAACAAATCATTGTAAAACCTATTGATCGAACCACCCAGAATCTAAAACAAATAATTAATTTGTCACACAAAATGATTAAGTCAAATTGTTGTAATGTTAAAATTGTCTACCAAAGCAAATAAGAATACGTTTTATAATGTTCTTATATAATTAAATGTAACTCGTTATTCTTCTATTGTTGCGAAATTAAACCGTACAATATTACGAACAGGTACCGGGCCTGTTATCTTATCTAAACCACCATCGGGAAGCATTGCAAATGTTTAATTTTTGTAAATTTTTAAAATGATAAAATCGAATAAATTCTGAGTAGATTAAAATATTATGGTCCCGTACGTGTATATCTACTATTACATCGTGACACTGATATATCGTTGTAGAGCTGTGCAAGATTTTTGTGCGATCGAGTGTTTTGCAATTATTTTATTTTATTTTTTTCCATAAATGCCGTCGCTTGTCACTGAACTATTATATAACATCATATACATTTATAACGCATTAGCGTGTACACATTAAACAAAACGAGAGTTCGAAACATGAATGGTCGGTATTGGAATGAGCGTTTGTTTGATTTAACCCCCCCCCCCCCCCCCCCACACACACACACAAAAACCCGCGCGCAAGTGTTCAGTGACAAATCACAGTATGTTTTCTTCGGCATATAGGATTATGTCACACGTACCTACGGACAACCGGTGCAGGATTTGGGGAAACCGGTCCCGATGAAATTGCAAGTATAATATACCTTTACTCTGTTTTGAACCTTGACCCGCGGTACAACGACCTTGCACCGCGGTCCTCCGGAACCAGTGAAAGCGCATCGGACGTCCTGGGACGTTTAAACGGTCGTGCGAATCGACCGGAGAAGACAAAAACAATACAATTAAAAAAAAAAAAAAGCGTATGTATTTCCTATATATTATAATATATTATACCGTATGCAGGCTCGTAATAATAACCGTCGTGCGTGCGAGAGTGCATGTGCTTATAGGGAGAAAGTATACACACTTAGGCGATATCACACAATATTGTGTGCGTGAATGTTGAATTGCAGATATCGTAGGTACCTGTTGCGGGCTGCAATAACGATACCCCCGAGCGAATTTTGCAGGCAGCGTGTAACTATCTGCCGACTGCCAGTCACTGCAGCAGAATATATTGCCATTGATAAAATATAATATGATTCTGTGGTCTGGTTTCTGGCATTAGAGGTGATATACTATATAGAGGAAAAGGATTTAAGCTCGTGTAGGTACTAGATACTAGATAGTCTATAATCGTAACACTCTATGAGGAAACTAGATGTATAATTTACTACTTGGTATAGGTTGGGCCTATCTGTGCTCGAACACAGAATAGGGAAAGGTATGAATAAACCTAATGTTAGGAAAAGTTATAACTTTATAAGTACCTACTATAATATTATATATTATATGAACTTATGATTTATAAATATTGCATCGAACGATATCAATTTGATTGTTAAAATAATTACAGTATAATAACAATAACGTTAACTGTTAAGTCGTTACAATAGAGTATAGATCAAACTACGAACAAATACACAAAAAAAAACATAAACGAGAACTTCTTTACAGCTGCAATGCATCAATGTATATTAATAAATTAGGTAGTACCCATAATGATTATCGTTTTAAATTAATCATCGTATTTATTAGGTAACACTCACACATTATACCTACGTAACGTAACTTCGGTACGGTATCGATGAAAATCATACACTTTTTAATATTATGAAATGTTTATTTCTCTTTTGACTTAATTATGTGAACTCTGGTTAAATAAAAAATGGCAAGTGTTGTATAATTCTCGAACGTTTCAATTTTGTATAATATGTGTTCTTCGGTCATTCGGTTTACGGTTTCATTATTTATGTGTTGCCTATATATTTTATTATTATTTCATACACAACATGCACATTAAAAATTTTTTATCTGTTGTATAAAAAAAAAATTTGAAACAAGAATAATTACAGTCCTGTAATGTACAAATAATTAAGTACATATTATGTTTAATCTAGGTATTAACTATATTTCTATATCAAAAATATACATAACAATAACTTATTACATAATTATTTTTAACAACTATAAATAGTATAACATGTAGTATGACTCATATTATATAGTTTTCAGTTTTAGTTGAACAAAATAATATTAAGATTTTTATTTTCATAGTTTCTTATACTATCGTTAGAGTTTCTCCATATAATATTTTTACATGGCAGTAAATAAAATGAAAGTAACTATATAAATATTTTATATTTGCTTCATTGATTGTGTTGTGATCTGAGTACCAAAATGTGTGCCCTAAAAAAGCCTATAAAATATAACATGTTACTTCCAGTCATGACGAGTCATGTACAAAAACTGACCTTAATAGGTAATACACATTTAAACATTCAAACCATACAGCATAAGAGTGTATACTGTATATAGAAAATGTATAGTATAAATATTGAGAAGTCTTAAAACATATTATACCTACCTAACTTTTCAACTTTTCAACTATGATGGTCGATGGACGATGACTATACCATATACATAACTATATTACCTATAATTTTTTTTAGATATTATACTTAAATCCCTCCAAACAGTGATTTATATTTTACTATACAATAAAATATTATAATAATATAATATATATTAATATATCTGATAAAAATAATCCAAAAATGTAATCATAAAAATCAACTTAAAAGTGTTTCCTATAAATTGGCACGTATACTATGGTCAACATAAATGTAACTTTTGAAAAGTTAATAAGTAATAAATTTTTAACGAAAATAATTTTTACTTTATTAAAATAATAACATTATTTGAATCGAAACGGCTTTGGTAATGCGCTAAATCGTAAATATTTAATTTAAAACTTACTTTCTGAATTTGTGTACGAGCATAGTGTTGCTACGATGGTGGCAATGAGCAGCAATTTGAAGTGGAAGCAAAGCTTATATTTTCTGTTTGTCTGGAAATAAAAACAATAACAAAAATTAGCAACGAACATACATAGGATAATATAACAGTTGAATCAATAATTCGAATAATTATGCAGTCCCGGGTAACAGTAGTCAGCGATGGAACATGGAAACCACGGTATCCGGACAATTTCCCCCCGGACATTTTCCCCCCGACTGTTTTTGGCGTAGTAGGACATTTTCCCCCCGAAAAATGTTCCGATGCGGACATTTTCCCCAAATTTTTTCATAAATATAATAAAAACGTAAAGTAATTGTACATAGGTAAGTAAAATAGGTTAAAAATTTCATTTTTTTTTTTCATAAATATAATAAGACATAAAAAAATTGTATATAAGTAAAATAGGTTAAAAATTTCGACATAAAAATGATATATTTTGTAAAAAACATTTAATTTCTGATTCTTTTTTTATATCTAAGCACATATTTTGTAATCGTCTTTCATGTTTATTTTTTTTTTGTTAAAAAAACCGTACCTGTTTTAATTTTTAATAGTTTATTAATTGCCATTGAATTTGACTTTTGTAGTGCTTCAATGAACATCCAAATATTTGGATGCTGAGTTCTAACCAAAGTTTTAAATTTGTTATTGAAACCTTCACTTATATTATTTGTTCTACCTTTCTTTGTAGCATTATGTGCATTCCATAAATAAGGAGGAAATATTGGTGAAGATCGCCATAATGACAAACATGATTTCAATGTTACTAGCGAATAATACAGTATGCTAATACTATTATTTTTTATTTAGACAATCTTTTAAATATAATATTACCGGATATTACTATTGTTTTATTGTTTTAAGTAGTTGAATTGATCAAAAATATAATATATCTACTATAGTAGGTAAATAGGTAATTATAGTATAATTGATTATATTTATAAAAAAAATTATATTTTACTGAAAAAAAATAATTTCTTATTAAATAATAATTAATAAATAATAAACTTTAAAAAAAAATGGGGGGAAAATGTCCGCATCGAATATATATTGGGGGGGAAATGTCCTACTACACCAAAAACAGTCGGGGGGGAAATGTCCGGGGGGAAATTGTCCGCCATTCGGAAACCACTTACGTTGAAGGAAATAACGCCTAATGTTTGGAGATTAGCCACGGTGAATCGGATTCACGTATTTGTGGAGATCCGTTCAATTTCGTACACTTTCCTCATCTACGTATTTATATAAATATCACTAGCTTTCACCGATTTTCTGACTCTTTGTCGTCGTGTATGACTAGCGAGAATATGTGTATACCTAAAGCCGAAAACACTCTTGTTCCGTCATCTTATGTATATCTACGTTTGATCGTCGTCGTCGTTGGTTGACAGCTGTCGTATGATTACGTGAAAGAGGACGAAAAATAGTGCACACAGCGTATAACTATTTGATTTTTGGTTTGAAAATCACCAGAGTTTTACTTTTGTGTTGCTTATTATAGATTTTTGGTGTACAACTTTTAAGCATAGTCAAATCGCAGTAACTATATGAACACCTATCACTTAGAATTACAAAAGAAATCGCGAGTTTTGTTGACTTGATACTTTGAACCACGGTTGGTTATATGATTAATAATTATACTATAATCTACCGTGCTTTGAACATGTATTTAAGTATACTATCTCTTGCCATGTTTTTTAATTAAATACTAGTTTTACTAACCATAATTTTAATTAAGCTAATAATTTATTACTTATCTCCAAATGATCAATAATAATATCAATAAAGTAATTTTTCAACTTAAATATGTTTTTGTGTGAGTATAATAAAAACGTTAAACATGAAGCTCTTAATTCGTGATCCTACAGTAAGACGATATTATATAGATAACTATATAGTTACTACAGTCAGAACATCTTTCACGCGCCAGGAAAGTTATAATATTCGTCGATTTGTGCTTATATAAACTGAAGACTAGATAAATACGGAGAGAGAAAGAGAGAGACAGAGAAATGAAGAAACTTGCACCGAGTAAATAGTCATACATTAATACACAATCCTTTCGTTTTTAATTTTTCATATGGGTTTTAATTAGTCCGAAATTGGAGCAAATGCGAAAGCCAAAACAATAACGTTCACAACGGCTAGAGATTAGCAATTATACATGTCCGTGCTCGGATAATAGTATAATATAAACTCAATCCTCGTGTGTATATATATAACAGTCCAAGGAATCTCATACTCACAAGCCACTATGCGTTCGGGCAACTCAGCTTTCTCTGACAGCAACACACACACACACACACACACACACACAATAGCCTATACGTATCGTTTTTCCAGTTACACAACGCGTGATCTGAATACGGATTAATTAGATAGTTTAAGTCTGAAGAGAAGACACAGTTCTCAAGATGTGTATAATTGTATAGCACTGAGGCGAAAAACAAGAGACCTGAACACACACGCACACACACACTCACACGCGTCGTGTGAAATAAACACACATTGTTTTTGTCAACCTTGGCTGGCAGTACGATTTTAGGTCGAGTGGACCTTTTGCTCTCAATAATAATATGTAACCACCAAATATGGTACTCATTAACGACCGACTTCCGATTTTTTAGTCCTACGTGTGCTATACTGCAGTGTAATCATAACAATAGGACGTATGGGTACCATAGGATTTTATAGTTTATTTAATAATAACATGTTAACATTTATTTACGATCGACCAGACTATAATATGATAATATGTTTCATCTCGGAGCTTTTGAAAACATTATCGTAAATATATTTCACCATACGTGACAAGTTGTTTTTTTGTTTTCATATTGTTTTTGCGACACGCAATGGCGTATTATATTTTCTAGCCGAATACATAAAAACAAACAATGTTAAATTTTAGTTTTATAATTTTATATCAAATAATCTATTTATTATCTATCCGTCTAATGAATATAAGACATTAAGCCGACATTAAAGTAAATGGCAAGGCATGTGGGTGTATAGGTACTGACTACTAGGTACCTAAAAACGGAGACTTGACAACAATTTTTGAACGACAATGTTTACAGTGTTAACAATATTACAAAACAATAGAAGGGACGCGTCTTACATTATGACGGCTTGAAAAGAAATGGTTTCCTAGTTCTCACACCGACGGGTAAATATTGGTTTTTATGCTCATGTTTCATTCGTGTGTGCTTTATTTGTGGCTTTCATTAGCCGCAACAGGGCGTAGCCCCCTGGTTCACCTTGGACACGCTCTACATGAACCTCGACACATTATTTTGTGGTCCCCTTCATACGTAGGTACTTATATTTTTATTATTTTCAGAATACTTGCATATTATCGTTAAATGAATGATTGGATACACGGTGCTGCGGTGCAGGTGATACATACGTGGACATTATTTTAAATGTATTTATAAAAATATCGTAAGCGTACAGTATAATATATAATTACATAATCTGTTCTCCCGTCAGAGTAGTTTTTATGAAGTTCTTACACCCGACCGGGAAACATCTCGTAGAAACGTCGGCGAAATTCTTTAGTTCTTTCTTTGAAAACTGCGTGAAATTGGATTTTCAGTAATTGAAAATTTCGTTGTCAACGGATAAACGAAAAAAAAAAAAGAAAGAGAAATAAAAAACTTATCATTCTCTCGTTTTATTATTTTAGATACAAAGAAATAAGACAACTCGGTAATATTAAAAAGAGAAGGGGGCGTAATGTGTATATCATATGTTCTTCAAGGGAAACCTACCGAATGGTGACCCACTATTCTGTAACCTCATTGTTGTTTTCATAACAATTGTCTTTTTTGTGTATAAATTATCCATCACGTATAAAAAAAATGTAAAATACATACATAAATCAGTATATAGTGCATTATAATATAGGTATACATCCACATATTTTAAATTTTAAATAATTTATTCGGTCGTTTTTCTTCTCTTTCATTATTTCTACATCCGATAACCCATTGTTAAATCACTGTCAATGTACTAGAAAGAAGTCTCTGTATAGAATGACACGAGAAGGCATTATTATACACAACTCGATGTTTTGAAATTAAAAAAAAATATGTAGGTACACACGCTGCACGTGTCATATTTTTACCTGACCGCCCGGAAAATTCGAAATAAGTACAAGTCGTTGGCCAGCGTTGGTGCAACACAATCGCGAAAATTGCGAAAAAAAAATAATAAGCAGATCAACGGTGTACACTGCAGGGCAAAATAAATAGTTTGAACTAATTTTAAATATAATTTCATAAGAAATATGAAGGATAGAGAATCTGAAAACATTTTTTATACTTATTATATACGCATTATAATAAACCGTAGTCGCCGTTTCGTTCCATTAGTTTCATTAATGACATCAAAGTGTAAAATAATGTTTTTTATAAACGCTCATGGTGGATATCTTGAGAATTATGGGCGAACTGCAGGTGTGTCATCTTAAATTACGATTTCTAGTCTTAAGAGCCAACCAAAATCAATAGGTAAAAAAAACTGCAGCATCTCCAATGCTTATTATATTATTGACCTTATAATTTTCGTACAGAATCGTAACTCATACTTTTTAAAACGAACGCCATATTATGCTCTCCATAATAAATAGTCCCTGTATAGGTAATCTTAACATTTTTGTTTAATTAACCATTACCTATATGCATTTATACTATATAATATATAGTACATACCTTTGCGTCTGCACTGTATTTTACGTGGAACGCTTTTAGAAAGCATGCGATAAACATTGGAACAAACGTGGACGAGTCTACATAATATTAGATTACCTAGGTTGAATTACCTTTTTTTCGTCCAGGGACAATTTTTGAGAATTCGTGAGAGACAAATAGACGGTACATTTTATCCCTGGGTAATGTTATCGACTAATCTTACACAAGTCCACAAAAATCCGCAACCCCGCCTTTAATATCACCCTCCTCTCCACCATATGCCTTTCGGGCGTGGCCGTCGATTAGTGGTGAACTCTGATGACCCACACACACACACACACACACACACCTGTCAAAA